TTTTTTTTAAAGTTGAGGAATGATGCTGGTGGTTGCTGACCTCTGACCTTTGCTTATATTGACGGGCTGAACTGTTGTCCTCAGGGTATCCCAGGAATTAGGGGGGAGACGGGGGTGAAAGGACAGCAAGGACTGAGAGGAGATCCGGTGAGTGTCAAACATTTCCTCGTCTTCTCTCGTCTCTCCTCCTCTGAACTGTTTTTGGCTTTTTCGTGTTTTCTCTCCTGCTTACATCAACGTTTCTTCTTCTTTGGTGTCCGGTCTGGCAGCTTCTGCACTCTGAATTGTGATGTGGATGCATGGCGATGCCGAACACATTTTGCTTTTCCAAGAGCAGATACATGTAGCTCCTCTAGTTCATGTTTATTTATTCATTTGTTTGACTTATTATATGTGCAACAGCACAGACAGGCAGGGGTAGAATAAAAGGATGCACAGAGACAGCAGCCCCCCCCCGAACCACCACGAGAGCAGGCCAACGACCACATCAGAACATCCAGCCATGCACCCTGGGACCAAGAAGCGCCCTAATCCCAGGGAGGGGCACAAGTGTCCCACAGGGGGAAGGGGAAGGGGCGTGGGGGGGCACACTCTTCTTCTGTCCCGTATTTATTGAAGCAAAGCTTTGAGCTGTCGGGCTTTTTAATAGCAAACTGTGATGAAACCCAGACAGCCAGGATGTCCGTCACACAAAGTTTTTAATAAATGTTTGCATGAAGAGCAGGTTAAAGTCATTAAAGTCATCGGCGTGATTGTGAAACACACAAACAAACAGCAGAGTTCAGATGTGACGCGAGGCGAGCTGCCACCGACCCACACACTCAGACTAACCGCAGCCCGTCTGCCATCACACAAAGTTTTTAATAAGTGTTCGCATGAAGCGCAGCTGGGCCACAGCTGGAAGCTGACTGAGTTTAATCTGTGGCTTCATCTTTCTGACAGGGACAACCGGGGGCTGATAACACCTCGCCCGGAGCCAAAGGAGACCCAGGAAACCCCGGCCTGCCGGTGAGACACGTCCCAGAGCAGACGCTGGTCGTCCTGCAGACGCAGCAGAAATGTGTCTCTGAGGTTTCTTTAACAGATTCCTGCTGCGTCTGCACGTCTGTCTAAAGAGCGTGCTCGTGTCATCGCTGTCTCAAATCCCTGCACTGAAGTGTGATGTGTTCAAATCCACAGGGAGCACCCGGGCAGGACGGCCGGTTCGGAGAGTCCGGAATCGTCGGGAACCCGGTGAGCTTCTTCATTCTCAGCACGAGGAGCAGATCTTGTTATTCCAGGATTATTAGAGCAGCAATGCTGCGCTGTACTCTCATGTAATACTACTGCTGACCACAGGATGGCGCAGCGAGTCGAGCACGAGACACTAACTAGCATTAGCTCAGCGTTCACACAGATCTCTGAAGTTAGCCGCCTGCTTCTGGCAGCTGGACGAGCTTCAGGTTAGCTGGAAGTCGTCTCTCACTCACTAAACCTTCTGAATGAACTTCCTGCCAGCTCGTTATGAACGCTGTTTTTAACCATCTGTTTTTTAACAGTTTGCTGAAAATATTCCAAATAAACGGGTGAAATCAGCCCTGCAGGCACCGAGCCTGCCTGGATGGAAGTCTTAGTCAGGCTTAACTCTGGAAAGTCTTCCTCCCTCCATCCTCACACGCCCAGAAACAGCTTGACTGAGTGAAATCTGCAGCTGAGCAGCTCCAGAAAGCATCCCATAATTCACTGGGGCAGAAAT